CTGTGATGACACCGTCTGGTAATTCTCCAATGTGCCACATTGCAAGAGGTGGCAGATCCTTGAATGTTCCCAATTTTTTGATGACCGCACATTGGCGGTTATCGAAATCGGTGCTGTCCCGTTCTTGCTCGACATATGCTTTCGAGTACAAGTATGCTTAGGTCTACCCTCAATTGTAATGCCGCTACTAATAAGTCTCAATTCTCAACGATTCATCATGCCTTTTGCGCTGGGAAGCCTTTTTTTACCATTCTGTTGCCTCTGCTCTGTGCGCAGACGAGCAACGTGAATGATTACAATCCGAACACGACAGGAGCGGAGAGCATGACATGAAGAGACCGCGTCAGTCTCGCCGAAGTGCCAGCGACAACGTGGACGTCTTCCCGGACAGCATTGCTGTGTTCCGACTCGATCAAGTCACAGAGAGCTTCTTCCGTCCCTTCGATCGTGACGCTCCGCAACTTCTCCAAATAAATAAATGCATACGATCGCGCAGAGCCCCGTTCACCGTAAGGTGACACGAGGCCCTTTTTGGTCCGTACTCCACCATCACCCATCGGCCACATCCCAACACTCACGTGCGTCACACCATATCCCCAGAAAACCCCCCCCCCTCCCCCAATCTGCTCTGCTCCGCTCTACCCCTCCGCCCCACTCTCCCCTCCCTGAAACCCAGCAACCTCCACATCCCCATCCCCACCGCCAACCGCGCCTCACGCAAGAACGCCGGCGTCAGTCGCTACAACCGTGAATAAAGAACAATGATAAAAACCAACCGCTCCGCTCCGCTCCGTACCCTTGCATCTATCTTGCCCAGGCCAGGGCCAGGTCGGGACGGATTTCCGCCAAGGAGTGGGAAAGGGGTTCGGATTAAGAAGTGGGCCCCGTGTCGACGGGGGTTGGAGGTACACGTCGTCGCTGGGCTGTGCGGTGGGTCGGAGGGAGGGAGGGAAGTCCATACGAGCTATTTTCATGCATCATCAACATTTCCGCAGCCATGTCTGTTCAGTTCATTTAGTAAACGACGCCATAAACGAACGACATCGAAACAAAGTCGAAAGAGGAACCATGCAAATCCAGTACTGCAGACCCCAAATACTCCCACCACGAATCCTCGTCAAGCGCGTTGAATGCAGAGCTCGCGACGCCGCTTCGAGCTTTCGATTAGGATATCGCCGAATGAGAAGCACACTGCGAATGAATGGTAAAGGCCGGAAGGAGAATGGTTTGGAATGGTGGGGGGGCTTTTAGATCTTAGGGGGGTCTGGCTAGTTGATGGAGACACTAGGAGGTAGAGCGAGTTTGAAGTGTGCATGGAAGGAGCAAGAAGGCACCTGATCGCTCCGATATGAAGGTGTGAATATGGACAATGAATGCTAAACGAGCTATGGACATAAAATAGGGAGCGAAAGAATTAGGGATATAGTGTACATGAAAACTCTCATCAAAAACTAACTCCGTCGCCGCAAGCGTCAATCAAAATTAGTAATTAGCAGACGAGTCGCCCGCAACAGGCACAATCGTACTCGTCACAACGCTTCCTGGAGGCGCATAGCCTATACGTGACTTCAGATCAGCAATTTTCGCAGGACCGTTTCAATCTCGAGGCATCACTCACCGCCTAAATTGGTAACTGCAGCGGCCACCTCCCTCCAAAATCCGCATACACTCTTCGTCGTCTCACTATCACTAATCACACTAAAGCCCAAATCCCCCGCATTCAAAACGTTCGTCAACTCATCGGCACTGCTACTCCCAGCTTTTGGCCAGTTGATCGCGGGCGGTATATTAAGCAGCTTCGCATAGGTATTCGGATCTCCACTTCTCGCATGTGACACGAGGTAGGACTGATAAGTTTGTGCGAAGGAACCAAAGCCGGGGATGAGCGGGAATGGTGCATTGTCGCCGAGAGCTGTCAAGTCTACGTTGAGGTCGTAGAATGTGGGAAGGAGATCTGTAGCGTGGAAGCCTGGCGTGACCGAGTATTGAAGGTTGTAGTTGATCCCGTTGTACGCATCGCTGAGGTAACGGACGTTGCATTGGAACGAGCTATCGGCCAACAAAGCTTTGGTGCGGTCGAACTCGGTAGTGTAATTAGAGCTTCCGCTCATGACGGGCGGGTAGCGTGCTTCGATCACAGCGTTCACGCCAGCACTTTGCCCGTAAGGTGGAAAGACTTCAGAGACGAAGGTTGAGAACTGGGCGTCGGTTGTCACGTCCGACGGGACGAATATGAAGGCTTCATCGGAGACGTGGCTCAGGATCAACGAGTCGATGTCTTTGTAAAAGTTCCCTGACGCGTATTCCAGCACAGCCAACTGCCGAATCAAACTCCCATCAGCAGCCGGCCCAACGGCAAAAGTCCCCTCGGGGCCCTGCTCGTTCAATTTCGTATTAGCGCTCTGCAAAGTCTCCGCGCTCGCAGCCCTCAGACAAGCAAGGCCTTGACCAGCGCATCCAGCTAACGTCGTAAAATTCTGGAATGTCTGCTCCAAACCTCCTTTGCGGTCAAATAAGAATTGAAAAGCTGGGCTCTGAATTACTGCTTTGCTGAACAGAGGATCTTGGCTTCCGCCAAAGGAGACGAGTTGGTGCAATATGGAGCCTGCACCGGCTGATTCGCCCCAAGCAGATACTTGGGTTGGGTCGCCGCCTACAAGGGAGATGTAAGACTGGATCCATTGGAGAGCAGCGCGTTGGTCGTAGAGGCCGGCATTCGGGAGGCCGTCCGATTCCATTGTCGTACCGGCGAGCCAGCCGTAGGCGCCGAGCTGATTTCTTGTCAGAATTGACAGGGGCGAACATTGGCTAGGAAAGGTGAATCTACCCGGTAATTACTCGCGACAAAAATAACATTCCCGCCTGACTCCTGCAGTACACCGGTCCCATCGTACAATGGCAGTATGTCTCCAAAAGAATCTTTGCCTCCAAAGATGTAGGCTCCTCCATAGAACCAAGATACGACCGGTAGCTTCACCGATGGGTTCTCCACAGCTGCGGCTGGAACGTAGATATCCAGGAACAGACAATCTATGCTTTGATCAACACTCTTTTATCTACTGCGGGACAGAAACATGGACATACCTTCACTAGCATTGGCAAAGTACGGGACTGGTATCCCCGCCAGAAATTGATTCGCAGCCTCCCCAACCGGACTGCTGGCGCCAGGTCCCGTCAATTGAGGCCCTTTCAGAGGTGCTTGGATACAAATGGGGCCGTAAGAGCCATCTTGGACTTCGGTCTCCGTCTCCGGCGCTGCTGGTTTAGCCCATCGAAGATCTCCGACCGGCGGGGCGGCGAAGCGGATGTTTTTGAAGGTGTAGATCTGTGAAACAGATTAGAGGTAGGCACGAAAGAAGTGTGAAGAGAGAGGCAGACGTCGCCATCGGGGTTGTAATTGGCGGCCTGGTATGTCGCATATGGTAATTTCAACGTAGGCAGGGAGCCCGCTCGCTTATCGAAGCTAAGGCCTAGACCTGCTGGAGCTGTACGACATAATGCCGCCAAGGATAAGGCCAAGGCTAGTGTTTGCTTCATGTTGGATCTCCGAAGTGGTCATTCGAGGTTGGTGAGATTGCAGGCATGGTGTCGGGCCCCAACATAGCTTTATGACGGTCGTGGCTGCCATCAAAAAAGGAGTAAGGAAGGGCAAGAGTGGATGCCCAACCTCGGCACATGATTTTGGGCGATGAGATGCCATTAGCGTGGATGGAAGAGCAATGTAGTCACAGCCATACAAGTCGTTTGAGATTGTAAAATCAGCTGCAGTATCAAAGGTAGATGCCATGTTCGGATGATCAAGGAGGCACCTGGAGGAATGGAAATGTGGAGTGGGATAGGGAATATCGGTCGTGGTGCCAGATGCAGGGGCCCGACCGAAGCTACTCTCGGTACTCTCCCGCTTTCCCGCCTTCTCCCACCTTCTACTGGCCGCGCCTATGGGCCTCTCTCACGCGAGTCATACAAACATACTTTAATCCCAGTCACACACAAATCCAAGGTATCGCCGAGCCCCTAAATGAGGCACCACAGCCATTGGTAGAGCTATCATGCATACCTGACATGCATAGATCAAATGATGCATGAATTAAGTCGGCAGAAGGATATGACACGCCCCACATGCCAATGCCGTCCACCTATTATTGTCTCCGCCTTCGAGGTTGGTGATAGAATCGTTCCAATGGAGATAAAACGCCCGTAGCATGGCCAATAATGATGGTAGAAGGATCTAAACCAATATCCGTGCGAAGATGGGATAATCCAGGCACGCCAATAAGCTGTTGTATCGTGACGTAAGAGCGTTGATTAGCCCCGCACACACACACACTTACATACACACAAAAGCGGAGCCCCGGTCAAGTGGCAAACGGGTGGGAAGGGAGTCCATTTGATTACCAAAAGTCGAGGTGCCGGCCAGCCTCATGCAACAGATCTTAGTGTCGTGATCTTGCGACTCAGCCGCATTGCTGATGTAGGTACCTCGGAAAGTATCTATCTTGCACGGCAGGTACTCAAGAGGCGTGCAACCATTCATGACTCCTCGTTGCTTGCTCCGAAACGTTCGAGCGAAGAGGGAAGTTGTCCTCGGTCATTCACCAGGCCGTGCCACCCGGCGGGACGGTTGAACGGACATGGGGAAGGCGAGCTCTCTGCCAATGATCAGATACATTTTCTGAGCGAAATGAATGAAAACACCCCGATTGGATGGAGGTCCGCTCTCGGAGTACATCTACTAAAGCCGAAGCGTCCAGATGTCTATGGAGATCCAGCAAATACCGTGATACCTGCCACAGACACGATAACGCAGGAGTCAGGAGTATTAATGGGTATGAACCTGTCATACTCTCATGATTCTCTTGTAATTCCACAGGCTTCCTAGCCGACCCGACTCTCTTGAAGCCAGCTGAATAGTATACTAGTCCACGCAAGACTTGCCTCTCCGGGCTTGCCCATTGGCATAAAGCCCGGGGGTGCCTGCACTTGATAGCCCGACGACCCTATCATGCTCTATATACTAACACAACATCTGGCTTCTGGTTCGCAAGACCCCACGTTTTCCCCAATGCCGCCATTTTACGCAATACCCATTCCTTCTCTTCCGGTTTATCCAACATTCTGCCGATCGCTTTCAATGAGAGTATGATGAAGATGGGCCCCAGAAATGCCGCGGTGGATACATTTTCGACTGATTTGCAGATCTGGTGGGCGCAGTGTTTGTTTTCGGCCATGTACATTGCCCGTCGCTTTGCGGTGTCGTTTGGGCTCATGGTGGGACAGTCGGATGGGCTGGTTGCTGCTGGTGTTGAAGATCCAGTGGATCTAGTCCTCATAGGCACGTCTGCAACTGGGGAAGACGATGTCCGATCTGGCAAGATTTGCGGGGTTTCTCCGCTGCTCGTGACGTTGGTCTTTCTTGTAAGAGCAGCGCTTTCCACATCTCGGGGCGGCGTAGACTCTTCGACGATGACACTGGTCAAGGTCTCGCGAGAAAACATCATGTTGCGCGCTGCAAGCTTTTGGGCTGGTGTCATCTGTTCCCGGGACATTTGGAAGGTCGATTCCATGGCTGAAAGCTTAGCTTCTAGCCCAATCAAAGCGATGTTCAAGACTTTCAAAAGCGTCCAGTAACAGCAAAAAAAGGAGGCGACAAGAATGCCATGGTACTGATAGACGGTGGGAAACACCTTGTCGTCGACAGAAGATGGTACTTCTGTGGGTTCTTGTCCGGCCTCCGTCAATGCCTCAACGCATTTCTTGTGAATGGCTTTGTGATTCGACCTGTGCATATGCCCTCGGCGGACCAGATCCTGCAGCACCGAGCGATCCCGACCCCCACTCGCCATGTAGTGTACCGCGTCCATAACGTACCCAGGCTGCTGCACAATCTCCTGAAAGAATGCCTCTCGCGCGTCTTCAAATGCACTTTTACTAGCCGAGGAGTCGTGAATCTCTTGGGATAACTTCCGCCATGGCGCCAACGATAGGAAACATGGCTTCCCTGTATGGTACGATTCCAAAACTATCGAGTATCGGCAGGCTAGAAATACAGCTTTATCAAACTCCGTACGGTGCCGAGCCACTCCACGGAGCTGCATTAGATGGGCCGCCCCGCCCGCATGGCGGACCCACGAATTATGTTCCGTGCAGTTCAGCAGTTCGTAGAATGTGAGGAGAACCGTCGCACTAAGAGTGTCGGAATCAAGCCCTTCTGTTGGGTCTTGGAGAGATTTGTTCAATTTGAGTAGTGTTTTACCGTAAATCAAGCGGGAGTTCTGCACCAGATTTTTGTCCCGTGTTTGGCGGCCCAAAAATGAGAGCGATATGGCGCGGATAGCGTGGTTAAGGGTTGAAGATACTTCGGTACGACTTGCCATTTGAGCAAGCCAAATGCTGTGGCAATTGAAGGTTGGTGCGATGTGCACGGGGTTATCCGACACAACTGTACCGAGGAACAATGAGAGCAGCTGGGATTGGTATGCTGTTGGTGACAAGATGGACACCAAAGCGGATCTCTCGACGTCTTGGGATCGTCCACTGTTATCCGGTACCGGATTGGTGCCACTTTCACGAGAGACCTCCTGGGTCAAATACTCGAAAGGCGCAGAGTTGACAGGTCTACTACCGGAAGAAGTCAACAATGATGGGGGTGACCCCCTATCGATAGGTCTTTCGCCTTTATCGTCCGTCTTGTATAAATCCCGAATTGATGGGCCCTCGTCTACGAAGCTTATAGTCTGGTAGCCAGGACATTGCCGACCAGCTTTTCGGCACCGCAGACAGGTAGGTTGCTCTTGGTCGCACTAGACAGCAAGTCAGCGCATGCGATAGGCTGCAGGCTAAATTATCTTTGCGTTTCGATGAGGCTCTTGATTTTAATGATCCAAATCCGGCAAAACCTGAGGGGTGTTGCCCCCTAAGCATGTGGGTTGAGACATGCGCGCAACAAAGTCGGCTAATTTGGACTTGCTTACCTTGACACGGCGTTGTACACATACTCGGCAACCTTCGCGAGGGTGTCAACCAACCAAGCGATACAAAGATTTGAGGGCCATTAATCACCTTTGCTTCTTGGTGCTTTTACCATTGTGGGGTTTTGAGTGACGCTCTCTTGCCTTCCTTTTTGAGTAGGATCAAGATCGGTCTGGCATTAGGAGCGCTTGGGATGACGCCTTTTGATCGCGAAGTGTGTTTAGGTATATATATCGATGCAACTGCCAGTAGCATATATACGATACTTCATTCGGTAGTGGCCGGTTTCTCTCACTGCTCAGCCTCAAACCTGGGTTAATTAACTTTTTAGTCAGCATCAGCCACTCAGCTGTCTCGCGAAACACCACGAAAAACGTTAGCCTGGAAACTATACGAGATCTACACCAACAATGCTTGAAATTTCTTTTATCTTGCTCTACCGATATCAAGCTAGAAATCCTAAATCTACAAGCTATTTCAATTCTCTCAGGGTTGATCCCAATACAAGGGACGAGTTCTTGCCATAGTCTGCACGCTGCATCAACATCTGTTGCTATGTCCTTCCGTCTCTGTCGATATGTGAAAATCTCTGCGTCTATGTTACGCAACTCGTCTTCGGTCTTCGGAATCGGCGTACAGGCCCAGATCAAATTTGTACAGATCATTCGAAGACTTTTTGGGCGCTGCTTAGAACGCAAACAATCCACGACCAGAGAATTATTCTATCATAATCAAGATCAAGGGTATATGAGTCTCGTAGACGGCTCTATATGTTTCGTTTACTGGAGGTGGAAAACAACAAATAGATAGCTCGACATGACTCATCTGGAACATCCATCAACCGCTCTCAACATCGGCAAAGGATCGTCTATACCAAACAAAGGCCATGATTTGTACCATTGGGTCCAAAGTACCATCACATTGACAGTAGCACGATCAAGCATACCCTTCTCGGTAAACCGGCGCTTGATTCGCAAGATTTGCCGGCGCAGAAGGGCCAGGCTCATACACCGGCAGACGCTCATCCGGAACATCAAAATCAGGATGGCAGTACTGCGGGTTCGGCGCTTGTGCTTGCTGCGCAATATACTCCGGATTTGGGGAGTAGCCATGCTGGGCCCTGCCCCACGGGGCATAGCTAACAGAACCGGCAAGAGGTGGTATCTGCGCTGTTGATGGGTTGTGATATGGCTGGTATAACTCAGGATGGCTGGCTTGATGGTTGCGAGCGTTAGCGTGTAGAGCGTTATTGAGTCTGTTGGTGACTACTGTCCGAAGATATATTTCCACGGCTTGACCTTTTTCCTTGTTGGGACATTTCGTACACTCGTCTATCGGACTTCTGCCGTATGAAGAGCCGCTTGTCCGGGCGCTGTCATCCGCGCGATGGCGGCAGAGTTGTTGAACGGTTTCCAAATCTCCCCTTCTGGCTGCAAGATGTAATGCAGTGATCAAAGTACCTGGAACTTTAGCATTCACCTTGGCCCCCCTCTGGAGCAACAAATTGGCCAAATTAGTATCCTCGGTCTCAACTGCCATCATGAGCGCTGTCGCCCCTTCTGGAGTGGGAGCGTTGACCAGAGCCTCGTGATCTAAGAGTAAGAGGGCCATTTCGAAATCGTGAGTGCAGCATGCATAGTGTAAAGGAGTCATCGAAGACCCTTTTATCCTAGTGTGAGACAGCACCTGCGACACGCCGAAACTAGGCCCGGCCCAAGGATTGACGTCGACAAGCTTCGTCAGAAGATATTTCGCAAGTTCCAGATCTTTCTTCAGACAAGCCAGGTGTAGCAGCGTCTCGCCTGATTTAGTTTGCTTGTCAAGGTCTGCTCTTCCTGTAACAAGTGCTTCGATGGCAGATGGGTTTCCTCCCCAAACAGCGGAGTGAATAGGCTGATTACCATTAGCATCAAAGTCCCATCGCTTTGCCCCGTTTTCCAGGAGGGTTTCGATCATGTTTGCCTGTCCAGCTTGTGCTGCCAAATGCAATGACGATGCAGACTTTGCGTCCACTGCGGCTATCTTGGCACCGCTTCGAAATAGTGTGTCGAATGAATCGCGGCGTTTCGAGATGATTGCTCGGTGAAATGGTGTTCGTCCCCAATTGTCCTTAGAATCGGTGTCAACGCCTGCTGCAATAAGTGTCTTCACCATACCTCCTTTGTCCAATTCAGCGGCTATGTGTAATGGCTTTGAGCCTTCTGCATCAGACGCTTCTCGCAAGTTCTTCTGCGACCTAACGCCTTTGACTACATCTGTTGCCCGAAATAGTATTGAAGGTCGGTGCCTCATCTGATCAGGTCTAGGCGGAGGATAAGCTTCTAACAGCCATTTTACGGCAGCCAATCGATTGCTTGCCACTGCTATATGAAGGGCGGTCCTTCCGTTAGCATCTACGGCAATCTCGTCGGCGCCAGACCGCTTGAGCAACTTCATACACTCGATGTGCCCATTCATTGCCGCTCGCATCAGAGGGGTCTTGAAGTTGTCCGATCTTGAGTCGACGTTCACCTTTTCTTTCAAAATCTTTTGGACCGAAATCGTATTGCCAGATGCCGCAAAATCGCCGAGCGTCACACCCTTTGTTGAACCAGGCAGAGATGGGAAGCGCATGAGGTTTGATCGCGCTTTGCTAAGTCGAGGATTCGGGGAGTTTGCAGGTGCATTGATGTCCTCAGCTGGTGATCCTGCCAAATATGTACGTCTGATGACTTCGATTGATCGCTGCAAAGAATCTTGCACTGTGCGGCTGTCGCCTCTGACTTTGGCTGTAGCAAGCTTGTTCTGTAATCTGCGTAAATCAGACTGCGCTTGATCCCGATCCAATCCTGGCGCGTGAGTACCGATAGAAGTTGCTGTGGTGTTGCAGGTAGAGTGTTGTAAGCTCAGGATTGTGCTGTCTTCAGGCGCCTCGGAAGAGGATATAGTGGACGTTGCATCATGCGCAGACGAGCCTCTGTTGGAAGATAGCGTAGATTGCTCGCTTTCAGGATTCCTGGATTCCGTGGATGGGGAGAACACAAGAGCTGGTGGACTTTGGGAAGATAAGACTTTCGCGGGTGCAGCGCGTCTAGGAGGAGGTTGCATGGTTAAAGGCAATTCTGTGATCACCTGAGGATGAGGGTTGCTCATCTCTGGTGCCTTGACATGCTGCAGGCCAAGGCCGGCAGTGGACCGCGACGTCTCGATCCGCTCGATTTCTTCAGACCCCGGCTTGGCAACATTGTCTACAGGAGGAGTGGAACGCGTTGCGAGATCCCCAACGTGCGTAGGTTGTTCGACGCTTGTGACCTTTGGGAAAACGGGCAAGACACTCGTTGAACGCTGGGACTGTGACTCATTCGAAGTGTCAGCACCGGCACTCACTGGGTTCTGTTGACTCTGGTCCAGTATACTGGAATTCATCAAATTTCTGTCAGTTGCAATTTGTTGTACATCGGCGCTTCCGTATTCTGATTGCGGACTTAAACGGACAAGATGATGTATCTCCGCCTCCAGTATATCATTTTCCAAAATGTGGTCTGTTGCACCACCATCCCTGCAGGAGACACAAGAATATGGAGAAGACGTCCTAGTACTTTGCTCCTTCGACACCGCGATTATGCTGCATTCATAGAGACTCGAGTGTGTTGACATCGGCCTCTGAATTTCTTCTCGTAAGCTTTTTTTGCCACCGAGATCAAGACCCAAGTCTTCAGATTCCGGCTTCTTATGGCGCCTGAGATCTTTCGAACGTTTGCGAGAGACAGCTTGCGAAGTCTCGTCTCTTGTGACAACAACTTTATGGCTCTCCTCACTTTGGAAAAGCATGGCCGTTCCATACAAGAGCCCCAAATCACGTTCACCGTTATGGGAAGGGCTCTTCCCTTCAAACGCAAGATTCAGCTGGTTCCTAAAACCCTCGAGAGCAGAAATTTGCTCTGTGTCATCGACTGCGGCTGGGAGCGCTGTTGAGACAACCTTCTCGGCCTGCATCGACAAAGATTTAACCTCCGAAACACTGTCCTGGGAGAACTCAGCGCCGGTCGTTTCCACTTCGCTGTTAACGCTCTCTGTTACTTCTTCTTGACGCTGCAGCGGGACATCGGGCTCTCTTTTTGACTCTTCATTCAGTTGCGATGCAGCAGCGCTCCCCTGCGTCTCCCCTGGAAGCTCAAAGACATCGCTAGAGTCCGCCATGATCGTCGCATCAACATTGTAGTCCTGCTCTTCTTCGCCAGGATAAAAGTCCCAGACATTGATCCTGCCTCGACTCTGGGGCATCGATTTCCGAATTGGTCGTGAGGGCAGAGGTGGCGGTTGGAGCGTTTTGTTTAGGACAGGTGTGGGTCCTGGACGGGCTTCCTGTTCGCTATTTCCAATGGGACTCGCGCTAACTACAGGTGATATACGCAGCCGCGCATCTCCATACACACGCTTGTAGGCAGGCGATTTCATGAGTATAGAGTCGATATCGAGGGTCACGGATGGATTCAGTGACAATACAGAGGCCGCATCTTGGAAACCCATGTTGTCCAGCGCCAGGGATGCTGTCTCTGCCCGCACTTGCTCTATTATAGTTCGACTCTCCTCGTTTGCAAGCTTTTGCCTCTTCTCCGTCGCAGTCCTGCATTGGAAGATGGTCAATAGAAGCTGTAGAGCCCGGACCTGACCTTCGAGGTTTGATATGTACTCTTTGAGAATGTCTTCCAGCCAAAGGTACTTGATCTTTTGTTTCAGCCCAGGCATATGGCCAGAGTCGTCCAGTTTGCCATCGATAACGCTGATCAGGATTGCACAGCAGCTCAGGGACATACCCAGGTCCTTGTCGAGTTGCCTTGAGGGTCCAGTCGAGTCTCGGTCGCTTGCTCGCCATTCATAGAGAGCTTCTAAGGCGGCTCGAATTGTAGACAGCTGGCTGGCGACCAGGGTAGTGTTGAGCGCGACATTGTTGTAGCTCTCTCTAACTTCGTTCAAACGCTTAGCTACTTTGGTGACGCTTTCGATAACTTGCAGAATGGAGCTGATGCCAGCGATGGCTTCCATACCTTCCTATGCACAGGCTGTGGAAAGTAAAGAAACAGCCCGGATGAGCCCGGCAGATTGAAGGACTGCGCCGATCCATGGCCAAATCGT